GTCCTGGGCCGCGGGCCCCATCCGGGCCTTCGTGGTGCCGCACAGCCACATGGACGTGGGCTGGGTCTACACTGTGCAGGTGGGCGCCGGGAGCCGGGTGCGGGGCCTCCTGTCTCCGAGTCTCAGTTTACCCCACGCCGGTTCCCAAGGTGGCAGCCGGGTGACGGAGTTCCCGCCTCCCTCCCCAGGACGGGTTTGGGTCAGCTCGTGCCTCCACTCGGGACCTTGGCGAGCGACTTTGCTCCCGAGCCTCAGTTTCCCCATCAGGACGCCCTCCCCAGCTCCCAGCCTGGAAGTGGTCGACATGGGACTCAGCCCAGCCAGGGCTGCCGTGGCCCAGAATAGTGGGGGTGGGGTGGAGTCCTGCTCTTGCTGTGGCCCACGGTGCTGGGGGCAGCGTCCCCAGCCTCAGAGTCAGCGCTCTGACTCTGTCCCCAGCAGGCCTGTGACCCGCACGGGTGGGGGCTCCCAGCACTCTGAACTTGTGAACTCTGAGGAGCAGAATCTTCCTACTGCCTCAGCCACCCGGCCTCCCTGTCCTCCTGCCCCGGGACCTTTGCACAGGACCTTCAGGGCCCAGTTCCTCTCCTCCAGTCTCTCTGAGTTCGGCTCCCTGTAGGGCTCCTCATGGCATTTGTCACCACCTAACGGTCCATGAGTTACCTGCTGGCTTCTTGATGAAGTCTTTTCCCCGGGGCTCCATCCCCTGGGTTCACTGCACCCACTGAGGAGGTGCTGCCTGTGTGCCTGTCCAAGAATGAATGACCGAATGAGTGTGTAAATGGAGGAGGATCTGGCCTCTCCTGTCTCTGGATGGGCACCGCATGTCACTGCCCAGGCCTCCTCTGCGTGCTTATTTTGGGGATGAGACAAGAGCTATCTAAGAATCCATGAAACCCCTCTGCTTATGGACAGAATCACTTTATAAGGAACACGGATCAGCTCCTAGTGGTGGCTTATTTCTTTTCTTTTCTTTTTTTTTTTTTTTAGGTAGGGTCTCACTCTGTACTCCCAGCTGGCCTTGAACTCACTCTGTAGGCCAGGCTGGGCTCATACTTTTAGGAAGCCTCCTGCCTCAGCCTCCCGAGTTCTGGGATTCAGGTGTACCCACCACACCCATCTAGGTAGTGGCATTTGAAAGAGAGGGCCAGGCAGAGGACTTGGTGCCAAGTGTTGAAGGGTCCCAGGTGCACAGACAGGCTGCGGGGAGGCCCCCCTTTCGTGGAGACACCCGAAGACTAAGGGAGTGTGCTCTGCTCCCACTCCTGGCTCCCCGAAGAAGAGACAGAGGCCCAGAGGTCCGTGCCCTGCCTGTGGGCACCCGGGCCAAGCTGTGGGCTCCTGCTCTTTCCCCTCCGTCACGGGTGCTCTCCGTGGGCCCGGTCCTGTGAGCCCCGCGGGGAAAGAACGAGGGCACAGGGACCGCCCAGGACACCGCCTCATCGCCCTGTGTTGTTGCCTGAGCAGGCCCCATCGGGGTCACCACTGCACCCCTAACGCCTGGTACTTCCTGTGTTGCCCATACAGACTGCGGGGAACCCTCTTCTGCACCCCTCCCTAGCTGCCGCTGACCCGAGGGTCGGCTTCTCCCTGACCGCCAGGGTCTGAGTCCTGGGGACAGGCGGTGGGACGGCGGGGCGGGGCGGGGACACTGACCTCTGGGGCCTCAGGCGCCCTACAGCGCTGGTGTCCCCTGCCGCCCAGGAGAGCATGCGGGCCTACGCGGCCAACGTCTACAGCACCGTGGTGACGGAGCTGGCGCGGGGACAGCAGCGGCGCTTCATTGCGGTGGAGCAGGAGTTCTTCCGGCTGTGGTGGGACGGCGTGGCCTCGCAGCGGCAGAAGCAGCAGGTACAGTGACGCGACTCACCGGGTCCCCAAAGCCAGGGCTGGGCCATGGGCCGCGCAGACCCCGAGTGAGCCTGGTGTGAGCCGTGTGTGGCCGGCACCACAGCCCCGAGGAGTGGGTGACTCCGACCTCTGGCCCTTCGTGGAAGGCCCCGCTCTTGGTGCTGCCGCCCCAGACCGGGCCCTGCCGGTGGCCGCTGGCCTGCACCCTGCCCTCCTATGTGCACTGCCCACCTGGCCCCCGGGTACAAGGCTGCTGGTCTTGACCCGGCTCCATGGCCTCGCGGCTCTTCAGAGTGGAGTCCCTTGTCCTGCCACCAGGGCTGCGGCTGTGAGCGGAGGGCTCCCGTCTCCGAGACATCAGGCCAGGATGGAAGCCACAGACGCCTGGACCCCAGGAAGCTTGGGAGCCCAGTGTCCTCCTGGTGTGCAGAGTCTCTGAATGTGAAATTCAGAAAGGTTGAGCGATTTCGTCAAGGTGGCAAAGCTAAGCAGGCAGCAGAGTGCAGAGAGTCAGGGTCAGAGCACAAGGGCCAAGGTTCCCCGCTCGGGGCCGGGCCATGGGATTGGAACAGAGGGAGGGCAGAGAGCTTGCAAGTGACGAGCGGTTTGACTCCTCCCCACCAGGGAGGCACGGCCAGGTAGGAAGCTCTGCTGCCGAAGAGTAGTTATCAGCTCATCATGAGACAAACCCAGAGTGAAACTGTCACACTCCATGAGAGACAGAGGAGCAAAGCAGAAATGGGAGAGGAAATGCGAGGGACAGCTGGGGCCGCAGGGGTGATGTGCGGGGCTCCGGCGGGCGCGTCCCGGGTTAAGTCCTGAGTGTGAGCCTCCACTGTGGCTGTGACTGCGCAGAAAAGCGTTCGGGTAAAGGCTTACGTGCCGCCAGCTACTTCAGCTGGCTCGGAAAAGCATCACAAGTGCACGATGGGGCTGGAGGTACAAAGTGAGGAAAGCTCGCCGGATGTGGCCCTGGGGCGGGACAGAGGGCAGCTCTCTGTAGGACCCCCGCGACTCGCTGGCGAACTCAGAAACCTTTCAGGACTACAGATTCCGGTGTCTCTAGTAGCAGGGTGGGCACAGTGATGACAGGCTGCCCTGCTTTGTGGTGTAAGCCAGGCCGGGACTCGCGAGGCACCACGGGGCACTGTGGCCCCGGCCAGATGCGTGACCTGGCCGTCTTGTCTCTGCCCTGCGCCAAGGTCCGCCGGCTCCTGGACCAGGGCCGCCTGGAGTTCGTGCTTGGAGGCCAGGTCATGCACGATGAGGCTGTGACACACCTTGACGACCAGATCCTGCAGCTCACAGGTTCGCCAGCCTGCCCGGCACCCGGGGTCTGTCCAGGCTGGGAGTGGGCTCGCTGGGTGGTTTGTGCCTGGCTAAGGGAGGTGAGTGGCGGGCCAGGGTCCCGTCCCTGTGAGCCTTACTGTGCCTCAGTTTCCTCAGAGGTCGTCATGAGGGTTGCACTGAGGCAAGTCAAATAAAGAACATCTGGTAGAAGGGGCCGTTCCCTCGTAAACACTTGGCAAATGTTAGCTGCCTTCTCTGCTACCACGCCACTGTCTCGCCTGGCCTTACAGGCTAAGGAGGAGGGCGCGGTGACTCGGTCCCATTCTAAGCTGTGGAAACTGAAACTCACAGAAACAAAGTGACTCTCAAAGGCCAACAGGCAGGACTTGAATCCACGTCCGGTGACAGACACTGCACGGTGCCAGCTCCCTCTGCTCCGGCACAGGCCCAGGTATCCCTGGGTGTGGCCTAGGCTGGCACCAGCTCCTCTCCCATCCCATCATCCAGGGGTCTCCTGTCCCTTGGCCTTGGCTCTGGGCCTCGGGCTCCCCGTGTGGGCTGGAAGTTGGTGTACACACAGCCCCCTATGTGGCTTCTGCAGACAGCACTGGGCTCGTCCCCCACGCCCCTGGCCTGGGCCTGAGGCCCATATGACAGAGGCGGGCAGAAGCATCAAGAGAGGAAGTCGCCCTGTGCCCAGCCTCCATCCCGCTGCGGCACTCCCCTGGCCTCTTCCGACCTGGGCATCTCTGCTCTCCACTTGGAGGATGCCCCTCTAGGAACCTGCTCTGGGTCCCCACAGTTCCCTGTTGCTACCTGGCTCACTTGTGAGTGCCCAGGACCTGGACAGGTGCTGGTAGAGGCAGGAGCTGCCCTGCCAGGGGTGCCCACGGAGGCTCTGCTGCCCCAGAGCTCACCTGTAGTGACAAGCAGAAGCCCCAGCAAGTGCAGGAGGCGGAGCTTTGGGGAGGAGGACCCTGGAGAGCCCCTGGAACGAGTCATTGCTACGAGGCTTTGTCTCCAGAACCTTTGAGCTCACAGGGCACTCAGAGGGCACACACTAGGGTCCCTTCACCATGCTCTGGGGACAAGACAAACCTTTATTTCAGTCCTCAGGGCAGCTCTGTTGATGGGTGATGTTATACATTCCCATGTAAAGGAAAAAAATAAATTTTGTTTTTGGTTTTTGGAGACAGGGTCTCACTATATAGCCCAGGTTGGCCTCTAACTCACAGCAGTCCTCCTGCTTCGGCCTCCTCGGTGCTAGGATTATAAGCATGCACCACCACGCCCAGCTCTGTAGAGGACAAATTTGTGCCTCAAGTGCTGCCCAAACCTGCCCACGGGACAGCAGCACCGAGCAGCAGTCCGGGGTCTGAAGCAGCTGGGCCCAGCGCTCAGGTTCACTTGTCTCCTTGGCCCTTCCCTGTGGCCAGGCCAGGCCCTTCCGCCTGCTGTCTGCTGTGAGCAGTCTGCTAACAGGTGGTGCTAGCAGCTGAGGAAACGAGGCCCTGAGAGGTGGAGGTTTGGAGCCCAGGTTTGCTTGGCCCCTGCTGGCTCGGGGCACCCAGGGGGTCCCTGCCAAGCCATTCCCAGCATGCTAGAGGGGAGGTGCTGGCCACACTCGCTGCCCCCGGGTCACCTGTGCTGTGAGGCGAGGGGTCTGATGCTGCCGCGTGGCTTCCCCATGTTCCTCAGGACCGCTGGGCCCGGTTCTGTGTCTCCTCCGCCAAGGATGCCCTGGGCCCTGGGCCGTCCCTCCTTACCACTCCATCCTTCTCCCACGGCCACCCAACACCCAGCTTCATGCGGATGTGGCATTTCTAGCAGGGGGACGCATCCTGGTGCCTCCAGGATTAGAAGCCAGCTGTGGACAGTGGCACTGGGACAGGAGCTTTCGTCCCCTGCCCTGCAGGCAGCTTCCCAGAGTCCTGGAAGAGCAGCCGGAGTCCCCATTCTGAGGTGGCCTGAGGCTGGACACCTGCAGCCATCATAAAGAGAGGGAGAGGGCCGGGGATTTAGCTCAGTGGTTCCATCTGCCTTGCAAGCACAAGGACCCAAGTTCTATCCCCGGTACCAAAAAAAAAAAAAAGAGGGAGAGGGAGAGGTCCAGGCAGGGGTGAAGGGGGCTCCTCCCCAGTGGCCACTGCCACACTGCGTTCTGAAACCCAAGTCTGGCACCATCCCCAGGTCCCGCCCACCCTGCCAGAGCCCTTCTGTCCTTCCTCAGACGGCCCCGTAGTCTCTGGAGCACACTGAGGAGGGCAGCAGGGCCTGCAGCTCAGGCCCAGCCCCACGCCTAGAGTCCCCCATCCCGCCCCCTCGGCCCTGCCTTCTCCCACTGGCAAGGATGGACCTCACAACTCGGCCACCATCAAGCTGGGCACTGGTTCTGCTGCTTTAGCCAAGCCCAGAAGGCTGTAGCTCTGAGCTAGGGGAAGGGTCCATCCATTCCTCTCTCCTGCAGGAGCCCACAGCAGCTCTGCCCCAGGGGGTGGTCCCCGGCCCAGGCTGCTTCTGTCTTGTGCCCTGCCACCCCTGGGCTCATCCTCTGAATTTCTGGAGAAGGGGACCCAGTCTCTTCTGCTCCTGTTTCTATTGTCCAGAATTCAGTCTCCAGCCTCCCGTAACTTCTGCTTGAGCCCCATTGAGCTAGACTGACTTACATAGTCTCTACTAGGACTTTCCAGTAGGGCAAGGGGAAGAATGTTTCTGGGCATATCCTATTGGCCAGGAGTTGGTCACATGGCTTCATGTGCTGTGGGGGAGGCTGGGAAGTGTAGTCCATTGCTTTGCTCACTGTCTGGTAGCCAGAATGGGGTTGTGTGATCTCTCAGCTGAATGAGAGCTGGGGGATGTGGTCTTCGGCTGGAAGTCCTGTGATTTCCCAAGAAATGAGAGATGCAGTTTCATTCTTTACCTAAGAAAAACCAGTCCAGCGTGAAGAAGCAAATTTTTCCCTAGTTAAGTAAAGAATGTTCTCATTTTAACGATAAATGGGAACTTGTAACTAAAGAGGGAATTAGGGTTCTGTTACCCAAAGGGACAAAGGGAGAATGTGCACTGGGGGTGCTTAGCAGTTCCCTTCATGAGTGACTTCCTGCAGGTCTCACAGTGTGTTCAGCTGGAAGGCCGGAGACTGAGGAACAGAGGTTGGGGTCATTTACAGTTTTCCCACTAAGACTGGAGTAGTTTGGAGGATGGTTTGGGGCCTGGTTAGACAGCTCCTTGATGCCTTGTGGGCACAAGATGGCTACCAGGGCTCTAGGCATCACAGTGCCATACGTCTGCATACCTGACTCTCCTTTCCGTTAAGGTGGGAAATTTTCCCCTGAAGGCCAGCAGGCTTACTCCATGCATTATTGGCTATGCCCACAGGCCATGCTATTAAAAGACTAAACTTAGGTACATTGAAATGTAGCGTTTATTTGTGTAAAAGCGGTTGATGGATCAGGCAGTGGTGTCGCAGGCCTTGGGATCGTCAGCGAAAGGCAGTGGGGCCCAAGTTCTCTGCTTCTCCGCTCTCCATTCTACAGAGGCAGGTTCTAGCCCCGTCCATCTCTCTGGCATCAGGAGGACGGCATTTGGGGCAGGGCCAGAAACCTCTACTCAGTGAACACAATGCCTGGCTCATGGGGTGGTGCCCAGGGAGCGAGAGGACAGCGGGTGCCAGGTGGCCCTGCGCAGAGTGCTGTATACAAGTGATCTGTTGCTGCGTAGCCTCCTCCCCAAACCTAGTAGCTTCCAACAGCCAACCCCTGAGACCTGCGGAGTCTGCGGGTGTGCATTCAGGTGGGGCTTGCTCAGGGCGTCCTGGCTCCCAGTGACAGGAAGTGGCCGCTTGGGTGGCAAGTGGGGCTCTGTGTCCACTTCCTGTGGACAAGGAGCTTGTGCACAAGGAGCGCTGCTTCCTTGCTGGCTGCTGTCTGGAGGCCTCAGGCCTTTCCCGGTGACCAGGACAGCTGGTGTCCCCGGAGGAGCCATGAGAGGTGAGCGTGACCATGCTGGCCAGTCTCAGAGGCACACACCCATGCCCGTTAGAAATAAGCCCCTACCTTGGCCTGCCCTCCTGGGGAGAAGCAGTAATTCCTAGGTGTCCCTGAAGCAACCAGGCCCAAACCCCAGGGCGGCTGTCAGAGCGGTGTAGTGCCCAGGTGCACACAGACCCTGTCCTCTGCTCCTGCCGCAGCCCGGAACCCATGTAATTCCTAATTCCTAGGTGTCCCTGAAGCAACCAGGCCCAAACCCCAGGGCGGCTGTCAGAGCGGTGCAGTGCCCAGGTGCACACAGACCCTGTCCTCTGCTCCTGCCGCAGCCCGGAACCCACGGTCAGGTACCTGCTATGAGTGCTAACCGCCACTGAGTTAAAAGGTGAGGACGTGGTGGGGCACCCCTGTAATCCCACCACTCAGGAGGCTGAGGCAAGAGGAGCACTTTGCAGTCAAGGCCAGCCGGAACTGCACAGGGAGACCGTTTCCAAAACACTGGGCCCCTCAAGTCTGCCAACCTGTGCGACCTGCTCAGGCAGAGCCCCCATCTGGCCTGCTGGGATGGGCGGCGCGAGTCGAGGGGCAGGGCCGCCTCCCGGCACCAGCCAGCCCCGCTGTCTCTGCAGAAGGACACGGGTTCCTCTACGAGACGTTCGGGGTCCGGCCGCGCTTCTCCTGGCAGGTGGACCCGTTCGGCGCCTCTGCCACAACGCCCACGCTGTTCGCCCTGGCGGGTTTCCACGCCCACCTCATCTCCCGCATCGACTACAACCTCAAGGACGCCATGCAGGAGGCGCAGGTGCGTGGGCGCCGGCTGCGCCTTCCCCTCCCTCGCGTGGACTTAGTGGAGTCCACGCCTGGGACAACAAATGCCAAGTGGCCCCGGGCCTGAGGCCGTGCGCACGAGGCCTTCCTCCCCGCCAGCCCTAAGGGCCTCCTGTGCCCAGCTCGCGAAGGCAGTCACAGCCCAGTTCCATCCGGGCCCGCTAGAGGGCAGCAGTGGGTGGCCAGGGGCTGGGAGTGGCTTGGAGCCCCAGGGGACACTGCGCACCCAGTGTGGCTCATTTCACCTGCAGAGGGCCCTGTGGGTGCTCGGTGTGGCTCTTCCCATTTTTCCATGCTGAAACCAAGTCCGAGGGATTAAGGACTTGTGCGTGGCCCCCCAGCCAGGACGTAGCAGTAACCCCGAGCCCTTTCTGACCATCACAACTATTCAAAAGTCAAGCTGAAGATTTAGCTCAGTGGTTCCACCTGCCTCCCAAGCACAAGGACCTGAATTCCATCCCCAGTACCAAAAAAAAAAAAAAAAAAA